ASWSASTYTRKGWAYSCATCATCTTATCTTATTATTTTTCCTTTATCCTATAGTGTGTAAATTCTAGTTTATAAGTAGCTCTTTCTTTTGGCAATATGTTAGTCTTCTTCTTCTTTACTTGTTCTTCCTAGTTTCTCGGTACAATTTAGATTTGTGCATTTTATTGCATCTGGATTCTGCAGTAGAAAATACATTACTTCATCCATATGATTCATTTTGCTTCATATTTAAACTGGATTGAATCATTTATATTTTTTAAGAATTAAAATCAATTAACTTCAAGATTCAGGAATATTATGGAAAATCTTATTGTTGAAGAAGGGGATGATGGGTTTCTTTAAGGCTATGTTTGGTTTGAAGGAAAAAGTAGGGAAAAGTAGGGAAACCTTTACAAACTTTGTATAGATAGGCCTTGCATAAACAAAGCAAAGGGTGAAGTAGATAGGCAGTCTTACTCTCAAAGTTTGGGTTATACATGACACTTGGAAGGCAAGGTTGGTGCAATCTTGTATCAGATGAATATATAAAAAGCTTCCCATCAATATTAATCGATGTTCAGAGAACTGGCCGGGCATAGTCGCATAGAACCGGTGAAGGGAGAGGTTCACGGGTCAGAGGTTCAACTGGAGGTCAAACCGTGATGACATGGCATATATATATATTACAGGTCATATAATCACTATATATAATATATTTTACAACTTCTAATATACTTAAATATGGTGTATGGATCACAAGTTCCTTAATTTTTAAAGCAAATAAATAGGGCTCAAGTCTCTTAATTTACATTTTCTTTAAAATACTTGCGTAATAAAGTAATATGTGCAATAAAGAGTCATTAATTAACACAAGTTAAGAGGTGTTCTAATGGTAATTAAGCAATATATGAAAATAAGAGGTTAGGGGTTCAGATCTTGTTAAATACATTTTAAAATTTCAATTGGTTAAAGACCCAGGTGGTTTCATGAAACTGGGACCAGTTCATTGGTTTTCCAGTTAAAACCACTCAGCTGGCTTTCATCGACTTTTAGCAAAAGCAGTTATTGGGATAAGACTGAATCGACCAAGGTCCCGTGTCACGATTCAACCGGTTTGGTCCGGTTTTCTATACACCGATATTAATTGCTGCATGTTCTCATACCCTACTCCATATATATTTTTGTCTGTTCAATGTCAATATATGCTAAATGCAACAACGTAAATAGTAATTCTTAATTCTTCATACTGATAGTTTTTGCACCATTCTCAACAGACAATATTCTTAGGGGTTGGCAGAATGCAGCACCCTCAAGAACAACTAGATCTTTAGCTCCAGAGGAATGGCATCCATCAGCTTACAGCCTAGTCAAATTGAATTTTGATAGGTGTAGCTTGGGAAACCCAGGATTATTCGACACTGGTGGGGTCTCTAGAGGCAACCAAGGTACCATATTAGCCATCTATTCAGGAACTATAGGCGTAAGGGACTCCACAAAATCAGAAGAATTGGCAGTTATACAGGGTTTGAGGTTGATGAGCAGGTTTCTTGATTTTAATGACATGGTGTGGTGGGGGGGGGGGGCTCTTGGTTGTGCAATGACTGAGAAACAATTGCCAGAGAGTCATGCCAATACTGACACACTAGATGAAATTAAAATGCTTAGCTAGTTGAGTGGTGTCCTTTTTTTCTTGGGCTCGAAGTTTTTTTCTTCATGGCTCGAAGGTTGGCAAATAAGCTAGCTAACACTACCCTAAGAGGGGGTGAACAGGGCTCAGTTGTTTTGGGGACAATTGTAAAGAACTGCTTGTACTGGGACGTCTGACACTTAATGTATTAACCATCTTTTATACATAAATAATAAGATTTAACAGTTATCAATCAAAAAAGGTTCTTCACACTTTCTTCACACTGAACTCACAACATGCATACACATTCTGCTTATTTAGTTCCATTTCAATCACACTTATGTACAAGGAACTTTAGTCTGTGCAATTTGACTTTTCTGAAACTAAAAGAATGTTTGAAATGGTTGCAATTTTCAGTTTGTCTCAAATGGCATTTTAGATTGATTTTGGTATTGATAATCTGAGATACAGAACCTCAGTTCTCACTTTTGATCTATGTCAGCAGCAAGTTCTCCATTCATTTGTTGCTATCAAGCACTRATCATCACATTAAATGATTGCCATTATTGTTATTTCTACAGTTGTCAACTGCTGGGGGTAGGCTTATCATCTCAAGTGATGGTGTTTGGGATGCTTTATCATCAGAAATGGCTCTAAATTGTTGTCGTGGGATGCCAGCAGATGCTGCAGCTGCCCAGATCGTCAAAGTATTGCACTGTAGTTCATATTGAATTTTCTTTTTCCTTTTTTTTTTATGTATGATTATCTTGCATTTAGTGACTTGGTGACGTTTAATAACATTGTTTTTTCTGTTATGTTTGTAGGAGGCGGTGCAACCAAAGGGACTCCGAGATGATACCACATGCATTGTTGTTGATATACTACCGCAGGAGAAAAATCCTCCTGTTTCAAAGAAGCAGGGGAAAGGAGTATTCAAGTCAATGTTCTGCAGGAAGTCATACGAGTCGACTTCTGATTGGGAAAAGGAATATTTAGAGCCAGATATTGTGGAGGAAATGTACGAGGAAGGATCTGCTTTGCTTGCAGATAGGTTTGTATTCTATATAGTATCATTAGTAACTTGAGGCTTTTACCTCAAGTCTGGAAAAGCATGGTCTATGTTTGTATTGTATTCTCTTGTTGCTTATTTCTTGGTCATTGTCCATAAGCTTTCCTTTGCTTGCTTACATGTTATCTTTTTCTGTGATTTCCTTCTGGGTGGTACTGCCACAACTTAGACAAATGCCAAGTGCTTGGGTTCTTCTGACTTGGGAGACATTGGTTTGCAGGTTAGATGTAGAATATCCCCTGTGCAACATGTTCAGGTTGTTCATGTGTGCAGTTTGCCAGGTAGAGATGAAACCTGGAGAGGGCATTTCAGTGCATGAAGGCTCATCAAATCCAGGAAAAGCGCGTCCCTGGGATGGCCCTTTTCTCTGTTCAAGTTGTCAGGCAAAGAAAGAAGCCATGGAAGGGAAAAGACCAAGAGGTACTTTCTTGCCTAGTTTCAAAAGTATAATGTTATGGAACTTGGTTTTCTCTGATTTTTTTTTGTTTTTTTTTTTTTTTTCAGATAGTGAACGTGACTGGTAAATTCTTGGTGGCAATGTCATGATTTTACAATACTTGGTGCTAACAATTGTTTCAGAACTGACCAGAAATGGAAAATCTGGGCCCTTGTTCTGGTACTAACTGTTCATTCACTCATGATGGGATTGAACAAATGGGCTCTAATCTGAAGTGACCACCAAGACCCATTGATAAATCACTTGTTATGCTGCTTCAACACAGAAGATCAGGGGCTTGAGCTTTTTTGTTTATTTACAGAGTTGTCTTCTGATTTGAGGATTGATGTATTGATCTTCCCTTTTTTCTTCGAATGGTTTGCAAGTGGTGAATTCACCAAGCACAAGAGATCTCTGACAACTGTGATAGACTCATTTTCTTTTTGAGATCACTTCATTGTATATGGGTTCAATTAAGCAGCCACCACTGTAATATGTAACACCCTAATACGTTGGAAATTTGTATTAATTTTTAGATTAAAAAGCATAATTGCTGAACCGTTTATTCCAAATGTCATTAAATTTCATTTGGGTTTGTTAAGCAGGCAAACTGAACATCAAATCAAAGATAAAGAAAAGGATACTCGTATAATGAGTGCCCTTTGTTTTCTAAATTTCTTGATTAGGCAAGACCAAAGAAAAGGTAGTGAGGGGGGAAAAAGAACGACAAAACTTCCATATAATATTTCCTGGTGAATATAACAATATACAGAGCTTGACAATGATGTAAACGTCCTTTCTACAACGCACATTTGTGGACTGCCTGTACGGACCTTGTAAACTTCCCTTTGGATGTTTTGAAATCTGCTGAGATAATTATTTGACTGGTTGATTCCAAGCATGGTCGCTGCACTGAAGAATTGTCCCAAGGAAAAAGACCAATAATTACTTCATGAGCATTGTTAAGGCAGTCCAATAATGGAATAAAAAGACCAAATTATCCAAATGGTGAGACAAGCAGAAGCAGATATGATTATGTATATGCATACTAAAAGCAGTCGAACACCTGAAAACAGAGTGAACATTTTTTTTTTGAAAAAGAGTGAACATGTCTCAGGGCATGTATGCATGCGAAAAATGATTCAATCATTTATAGAGAAAAAAAATAATGGAAAAGTACGGACAGGTCTAATGCAAATTTCTGAATTTCACTATAGATCTATAAACATTCAAAATGTCAAAAACCCCCACTCTATACATCAACGCCCACCCATGAATTGACATCAATTCCGAGGTAGCACTTACCCCAACTGTACTTTAGGCCTAAAAATTTTGACCCTGGGCTGAATCGTCATTCATGATACCCATTGAAGTTAATCCACAAGTTATTCATTTCTTTGATGGACCCCCAACCAAGTAGTAAGTACCCCAGTCCCAGTGATGGACATGAATTGGGCGCCCCATAAGGCCCCACAGCACATCTCGACCTTATATTGTTAACATCTCTTGGTGATGTCTTATTATCTCCCATAATTATCATTGGGAGATGTTCCCAATACAAGGTCGGAATGTACGGGCATTGTAGGGCGCAGATATGAACTCGATGGACATACGGTCTGTATTTCACCTTGCTTTGAATTTCTTTTTTATTTATTCAAAAGATTGACGTTCAACCTGATTACTAGCTCTGCCTAATCAGAAGGGTTGGCCAGATTTCCACACTCGTAATGAACATGGTTGGCTCTGAAGTCAACGAGCTGATTAGCTTCTTTATACCCATGATGAAACTTGAAAGGATAAGATTTTTAATATCATGGCCCAACTTCATCATCCACGTTGAAGACGATTATGCCAATCCATGCTGGAGATGACGTGGCATCTAGCCATACATATTCGTATTTGCATATTCACGGAATTTTCTTTCTAACATGGTTGTGGCAATTTTGGGCCTCCCAGGCCCCAACAATCTTTACCGCATGAAAGATTATTGGACTGGATTTCATTTAAAGCCCAGACCCGTTTTCCTTATTATGGCGATCAGGCGATCAGCATTCACCAGGGCAAGATTCAACAATAAGTCAAATATCTGATGGTTAGAAATGATTGGAAATGATGACTTCGGTGTGGGCCAGCGAACTGCTGGGGTGCTGGGGCCTGACTTCTGAGAGCGATCGGTGCGTATAAAAATGTACAGGGATGGGTCCCAAACCACACCCGGGATCTCCCGCAATCTGTGGGCCCCACTATTCGAATATCTTTGTATCCAAACTCTAAACCCTAGACGGCCGGTCTCCGACTCAGTCGGCGAAGTTTCGGACACGAGTGAGATCAGCATCATCCGTGCCGTGCGAGCGTTCAGATACATTCGGTGTGGTGCTTATTTGTGCCGAATGAACCCTGGCTGCGAGTCCCTGTACGAATACGATACGAAATTCTAATCACCTCGACACAAGAGCACCTGCCAAAATTTTGGGCTTAAAAGCAGTGAGCACGAGCTTTTATTAAGACTCTGTTTGGATAGACTTTACTAATATGATATAGTATTTGTATTATATATTTTGTGCTTCTATTTTTATAATTTTTAAAAGTATAAAAACCTCCAAATTCGGCTTTTTATACTTTGTGCTTTTGGCGAAATAATATTTTTATTTTCGTGCGAACGGGTGGTAATTGACCACCCTCCAATATAACTCTCGACCCTATCTTCATTCGCCGCTATTAGAGTTACACCACCCTGTCTTACCCACCAAAACACCGGATGCATGGACAAATGTACTTTTACCAAGCAGGAAATGATTTATTTATTTCGGAAAGTATACTTTACAAAACTTAAAAGCATAATTCTACCCAAACAGCGCCTAAGTTTTTATCCAAACTCTACCCAATTCCCAAATCCAATTTTTTTTTTTTTGATTCATAAATCCAAATATTGGTATGTTTTGTTTATGTTTAAACTTTACATATATTATTTTGGTTATTGTGTCGTACCCGAGCTGTTACGCGTCGTTCGTCGTTTTCCTTTCTTTCTTCTTTCTTTCATTCTCCTCCTTTTTTCATTCCGGCAGCGGCAAGCTCTCTTTTGTCTAACCGCGAAGGGAATTCTTTTAGGTCTCCGTCGTCTCCGTCTCTGTCTCTCCGTGCCTGCTTGCTGGCTGAGTGCCTGCTTTGGATGGAAGTGCAAAGCTTGCATCACCAGCAAGTACTGGCTCGACTGGGATTCTCAAGGCCCATGCTCAGAGGACTCGTAACCCTAGCCCCAAATATTTAGAAGAAGAAGAGGAGAAGAGGAGCAATGTTTCCCTGGAACATCGCCAAATCTGCGGAGGCGATGTTCTCTCGCTGGGCCATAAAAAACGTCTGTAAATTCCTCTTGAAGAAGAAATTGGGGCAATTCATTCTCGGAGACATCGACCTCAATCAGCTCGATGTGCAGCTTCGTGCAGGCACCATCCAACTCAGCGATCTTGCCCTCAATGTTGACTATATTAACCAGAAGGTACACTTGGTCTTCTCTTACTACTGATTTATCTGCACTTCTTATGGAATTTATATAGCTTTCTATTTTGGCATGTTGTTCATCAAGAGCATAGGGCCTTTTTATATGTTTTCAATTCATTGAATCCGCCAATGTTCTGGACTCTGGAGAAATAGAAGAATTGAGTCTACCAACCACTATTACTGGTGTATTTAGGTCAATTTAATGACTGTGCAGCCTCTTTTTCCCAATACGTTCAAACTTTCATACATAACTGAAAGAAAAGTTTCAAGAAACCTATATGCAAGATCATTATGTTTTTTAAGATGCCTCCTTAGACGTATATTAATTGGGCATTCACTTACAAGTTTGTGCCAAATTGCCTTAGCAATAGTTCTACTTTCAGACAGTTAAGAGGATGCTATTGATTGTATGGCGGCTCTCTGTGGATGAGACTTATGAACTATGGTAAATTATATTAAAAACATTAAAACATAAATATTTGAGCTTTGAATCTAGATCAAGTAAGGATTTGTTTAGCTAACTAATTGAATGACAGAATGTTCTATCAAATTTCATCCACAAGAAGCTAATATACAGTAATATAAATGAAACCAATTCAGTCTAAGCAATTAGTTAATAAGTTAATATTAATGAACACGCTAGTCCTGAAGTTCAAATCTTTATAGAAGTAATACTGGACAAGAAAACCGTGTTGATTGAAGTTTGGGATATTCTACTTGTCTATAGAGTAATATTTAATATTACTGTGATTGGAGAATTGTTCAAAAGAACCATTGTTAAAGAGTTGTTCAAAAGAACCACTGGAGTAAAAAAGTGATTATATTAAATAAACAGATAGTTCTATGGGAAATAACAGGTTCTCTAGGGATTTGGACACATAGGCAGAGCTTGAGGGGGATTACAATTCTCTCAAGAGAGATTGGAGTGGTGTTTAGATGGGTTAAAAGATCAGAAAAGGGTTTAACTGGCTATCTAGCCAAATAGAGGAGAATTTTTTTTTGATCAATAACAATAATTTCATTAATTAGCCTGTAAATATGCTACAAAAAGGGAAATAAAATTTCTTAACTTCCCCTACTGCAGCCAAAGCCCCAGACAAAAGTCTGAAATTACAACTGAGCCCAAAATAAAATTTCCCTACCCACCCCAACTTAGCTAACTCATTAGCAAATGGGTTAGCAGATCTCTTCACCCATTTGAACCAGTGATTTAAAAGGTGTGCCTAGGTGCACAAGCGAGGCGCCTTTTAGGGTATGTGCCTATTTGCTAATGTTGTTCATTCATTCATCCTAATAAAATATCTTCTTCAAAGGCAATTCAAATTATAAAATTATTATTTTTGAATGAGAATTAAGAATTTGAAACCCTAACATGGACTTGTTTGGGCTTGCCTTGAGGGGCGTGGCACAAAGGCGGCTTGTGGAATCAAGGATGTAATATGTTTTACATCACATTAGCTACTTAAAGTAATGCAGCTGAGGAAAAAAGTGATTGTGGGTATTACATGCTTGAAAATGTTTTTTATATTTGATTTTATTTTTAAATTCTCATTTGAATATGCTTTACATGTTATGTTTATGTATTTTAATTTTAGATAATAGGTTTTTTAAAACATTTGTTTTAAAATTCAAGTTTATATTTTTTATTAATATTATGCTTATTATTTTTTTTTTTGGTTTTTGATTTTTTGGCATTTTCTTTTTGAATTTTCTGACTTTTTTTTTTATTTTTTAGCTTTTTTTTTATTTTGTATTTTTGTGTCTTGCTTCAAAAAGGCACGTGCCTCGCCTTGCGCCTCGGGTGCAAATTGGCCCCTGCCCCTTTTTTGCACCTTGTGCTTTTAAAACACTGATCTAAACTTCACTTCCATGTCCTTGACCAGTCACTTAAACCTTTTCCTTTCGTTGCTATACACCCATAGGCCAGCCTTATCTTCTTTCATCCACCCTACTACCACCTCCGAATCCCCTTTAATTACAAGTCTTCTGATGTTCATTTCCTTTGCCTTCTGGACGCCTTCCACGACTGCACATATCTTAGCTTTGAGAGAATCCCCCGTCCCTATTGGGCCTGAGAACAGAGCTAAAACAGTCCCATTCTCATCCCTAAAGACGCCTCCAATACTCGAAGGCCCCGGGTTTCCTCTGCTACTTCCATCAAAGTTCAGTTTTATGAAACTAGAGAGAGAGGGGGGGGGGAATCCAGGACAATCTCAAGTCTGTTTTGACCTAGGGTACGACTAGCAATCTCACCCCACTTTCTGAGCAAGTAATCCACAGTGAAATCTTTGAACAGCTTTGAGGATTTCAGCCATTGCACTACCCTCAGATGGATCAAGTCTACCAGGTCTTCAACCCTCCTCTCTTTTTCAGAAAAAATCCTTGAGTTCCTTTCCTCCCACAAAGACCAGCATATTGCAACCCTTAGGCATCTCCACATGGTCTTGCCTCTTTTCCGTTGCCACCTGAAGGAGGAAGAAAATAACATCTGCAAGCTCATAGGAGGGAACCAATTGCACCCAAAAAGGGATAATGCCCATTCCCAAATCACTCTTGCATATTGGCAAGAGACCAACATGTGAAAACCAGTTTCCCCGTCGGCTCTACAGAGAACACACCAGTGAGGAGATAAGCATGTCTTGGGTATCTTTTTTTGAAGCAGATCACTAGTGTTGACTCTTTCCAGAAAAGTTTCCCAACAAAAACTCCCAACCCTATGGCTTACCCCAAATCTCTTTGACAAACAGAGGAGACTTATTCTGGGCTGAATTGTAATTGTAAACCTTTGGGGGTTGGAATCCCTAATATAAGGGGCTGAACCTATGTATTCTTCAAAGAGTTTCCAAATTTAATGAGCGTTACCATTACCTATCAAATAAATAACAAAAGGAGTTTTTGAGAGAAAAAATCAAACAAATACAGAAATCCCTGGCAAAAGGGATAACAAAAGGAAGAATGAAGCCCATATATCCAGTCATCCACATCTAAATACAAAGCTTACCAAAAGCTCCTGCCAAAGATGACCCATCAGGTTCATCAAACTTTGGATACACAACCAGGTAGTCCAACATAATTGATTTAATATTAGAATAACTCCATGGGTAAATCCTTGCCTCTTCATTTCTTTTAAAGATTCTTCTTTTTCTCTCTCTATGTCCTCTGACCTACTGTAGAGAACATCAAACTCCAAAAATAATCATCATGTTTCCATTTTTCATGCAAGGCCACAATGACAAAATATTGTAGGATGAGAAGTCCCATCTAGACAACTAAAGAGTGGAAAAAAGTAAGACCAAGTAAAACAAGCAGCTTGGCTGTAGACATAGAGGAGCAAATTTTCATCCTTGCCACATAACACAGACAGTTGCCACAATGGAACCACTTCAAATGATCAATAGTGAAAAGGACAAGACTTAAGTTAGTGCATAGGGAAAATAATTATGCAAAGGCTTCAACTCTAGGTCAAACCTATTATCCCACAATCTGCTAACTTGTAAGCATTCAAACTGATTTCTCATCAAAACTTTGTAATAGGATTTTCTAAGTAAAACAACCATTGGAACACTTACTCCATAAGTCTGGGATTGGGAAGTGGTTTGCAGGCCAAAAAATGGGTGGGTTGGATTTTAGGAGAGCAAAGATTTTTATTTAGGCTAAAGGCTCTATTTGGGAAGTGGTTGTGGAGATTTTGGTTGGATAAGGAAGGGTAGCTCTATGTAGAAGAGTAGTGGCATGCAAATATGGGGTAGCTAGGTGTGGGTGGGAGTCAAGGAAAGTTTCACACTCTTATGGGGTGTATGTTGGAAGGGGATTGTGTTATTCAACATTCATTTTTGGAGCTCACATAATTTAAGGTAGTTGAGAGGTCAATGGTTAGGTTTTGGGAAGAGGAATGGTGTTGTGTTGGAAGACTCTGTGAGGTTTGTCCTCACAGGTCAAAGGAAGAAATTGTGGATTCTATAAAGATAAAGGTCGCACACTGGCTAAAAACACTAGAGCTCTTCCAAAGCTTTTTAGTGACTGACATATTAAGAGCATGGGATGAAGTAGAACACTCTTCTAAAGAGGAAGATAAAAAAGTGATGGATTGGAAGCCCCCAACTTAGTGTTTTAAAAGTGCAAGGTGCAGGGGTCCATTTGCGCTTGAGGTGCAAGGCGAGGCGCGCACCTTTTTGAAGCAAGGTGCAAAAATACAAAAAAAAGCTAAAAAATAAAAAAATATTAAGAAAATTCAAAAAATATTGAACATAATATTAATAAAAAATATAAACTTAAATTTTAAAATAAATGTTTTAAAAAACCTATTATCTAAAGTTAAAATACATAAACATAAGATGTAAAGCATATTTAAATGAGAATTTAAAAATACAATCAAACAAATAAAACATTTTCAAGCATGTAAAACCTCTAATCTCTTTTTTCACTCAATTGCATTACTTCAAGTAGCTAATGTAATGTAAAACATATTATATTCCTAATTCTACAAGCCGCCTTTGTGCCACGCCCCTCGAGGCAAGCCCAAATAAGTCCATGTTAGGTCTTAAATTCTTAGTTTTCACACAAAAAATAATGATTTTCTAGTTTTAATTGCTTTTTACGAAGACATTTTATTAGGATGAATGAATGAACAACATTACCAAATTGGGGGTTCTCAAAGCTCCGGTTATTTGGGCTTGCCTCGAGTGTCGTGGCACGGGGGCCCAGGGGCAGAGCCCCGGCCCAGTCGCTAGTTCAAAAAAAGCAAAAAAGTGTCAAATTTTCAAATTGCGCACGCCTGGGCAGCGCAAGGCGCATCAGGCACACGCTTTGAAAAGGTTGCGCCTAGGGCCTAGGCGAGGCACATACCCTAAAATGTGCCTCGCCTGTGCGCCTAGGCATGCCTTTTAAATCACTGCCCCAACTAGCAATAAAGTCAAGCTAAACTTTGATGGGAGCTCTTTAGGAAACCTGGGACTGGCAGGCATTAGCGGTGTATTTGGAGATTCTTCAAGGAAAGTA